AGGCAGGTCAAGTTCGAAGATGGGCTATATCGGTCCACGATATCGTATAGCCCCCATATAACGGTACCCCCGATATTCGGTATTTTGATGATTTTAGCCACATTTTTCAACGAAATTGTCTGATAATCCACACAAGGAGTTCCTTGTGGGTACTTTATCTAGTAGAAGAGAATTATCTATATAGGTCCACTATATCGTATAGCCCCCATATAACGGTTCCCCTGATATTTGGTATTTTGATGATTTTATCCACATTTTTCAATGGAATTGTCTAAAATTCCACAAAAGGAGTCCCTTGTGGGCATTTTGACCCCCTCAAAAAGAATTGTCTGTACAGGTCCAGGATATCGTATATCCCCCACATAACGGTACCCCCCGATATTCGGTATTTTGATGATTTTACCCACATCTTTCAACGGAAGTGTCTTAAAATCTACACAAGGAGTTCCTTGTAGGTACTTTATATATATTATAGGTCCACAATATCGTATAGCCCCCATATAACGGTACACCCGATATTCGGTATTTTGATGATTTTATCCACATTTTTCAATGGAATTGTCTGAAATCCCACAAAAGGAGTCCCTTGTGGGCATTTTACCCCGTCAAAAAGAATTGTCTATATAGGTCCACGATATCGTATATCCCCCATTTAACTGTACCCCCCGATATTCGGTATTTTGATGATGTTAGCAACATTTTTCAATGGAATTGTCTTAAAATCCACACAAGTAGTTCCTTGTGAGTACTTCACCGCCTGAGAGGGAATTGTCTATGTAGGTCCACGATATCGTATATCCCCTATATAACGGTACCCCCCGATATTCGGTATTTTGATGATTTTACCCACATTTTTCATCGGAATTGTCTGAAAATCCACACAAGGAGTTCCTTGTGGGTACTTTATACCTCGGCAGATAATTATCTATAAAGGTCCACGATATCGTATAGCCCTCATATAACGGTACCTTCTGATATTCGGTATTTTGATGATTTCAGCCACATTTTTCAACGGAATTGTCTGAAATTCCACACGAGGGGTTCCTTGTGGGTACTTTATCCTCGTCAGAGAATTATCTATATAGGTCCACAATATCGTATAGCCTCCATATAACGGTACCCCCGATATTTGGTATTTTGATGATTTTATCCACTTTTTTTAATGGAATTGTCTGAAATTCCACAAAAGGAGTACCTTGTGGACATTTTACCCCCTCAAAAAGAATTGTCTATATAGGTCCACGATATCGTATATCCCCCATTTAACTGTACCCCCCGATATTCGGTATTTTGATGATGTTAGCCACATTTCCCAATGGAATTATCTGAAAATCCACACAAGGAGTTCCCTGTGAGTACTTTATCCCCCCATATATCGGCACCTTCCGATATTAGGTATTTTAAAGATTTTAACAGAATTTTCAATGGATTTTATTTTTGTGAATATTTTCTAATTCGTTCCAAATGGTGGAGAGTATTCGAAGTGCAGAGACTACCAGCTACATTTACAAATGATTGCTAATTTGATTGCCACACCACTGAAAAAAATGCATATATTTTAAAGGGAAGATGTAATAATGAGAATACAATAATGTGAAATTTAGCCTTCGCTTTTCCTAAAGTAAGGGATAACAAAAGTGGACTATAAAGAAAAGATAAAAGAATGGGCCATGATGAAATTTAGTAATCAAAAGTCTGCAATAATAAGCAAACAAAAAATAATTTAACGGAAACATATGTTGAACAAGTAAAAAAGTATCGATCGGTTTCTCCGACAGATGTATACCCTCAACCAATGTTCGATTAATTAAAAATATTTTTACATCTGTTATGAATTTTCAAACTCTTAACCCTCTATGGAGTGGGTTTTAAAAGAATGGATCAATTTGGTCTATTTCCTATCGGACCTAAATAAATATGATATGATAAATAAATATAGGTCGCTGGTTCAAATCCGGCTCGAAGGACCAACAATGAATGAGAAAAGAAAACCAACCGAATGGTTTGGCTGTTGATTCAAATCTAATTTTATTTAAAAATATGTTTCTTAAGTGCTACTGAAACTAATCTAACTAAACCTAGTCGCAGCCACACAATTGTTCTTATCTATTCTAATATTGAATGGAGAACATTGCAGGGCTGCTTGACATCTCATTCAAGTGGTCTTGTGCATCTACTGAGCGCATCGATATATGTGCGTGTGGGTCATAACTAATGTGACCATTTATATTTTTCGTCAGAGTGGGACACCGTTAGAAATATTGGAACACATAAATATATCTTACTACATATTTGAAACAAATATTTCCGAAATTGTAAAAATTACAACTGTTAAGATTATCTTGTTCGATTTAATTCTATTTGACAGAATTTGTATACGAATTCACATTTTAGGAATATAAATTCATTTCATATTGATCGACAAATTTTTTGTCCTTCCAAATTAGAGACATGTTCATATCCCTTGATTTCTATGAAATGATATATACGTTCTTGGTCAATATTGGGAAAAATAACAGGATGTGATGTTTGTCATTCTGTTTGTGATTCATAGAAATAATCTTTTAGGACCCAACCCAGGATATGAATTTTTGATCAGAGTAAAATTCTACGACTATATGCATATGTCTGTATGTCAGCCTGTGGTAATAGGTATTACTTTTTAAAGGGTCAACTTTGATGGTAGTTAGATGGTTAACATCAAAATTATGTTTACTTAACTTAACTTATATTATGTTAACTTATAAGTACATGTATATAATTTTTTTATACCCTCCACCGTAATATGGAGGGTATATTAAGTTTGTCATTCCGAAATATACATTTTAGACCCGACAAAGTATATATAATCATGATCAGCATCAAATTCTATTTCGATTTAGCGATGACCGTCCGTCTGTAGAAATTACTCTAGCTTCCGAACGAAATGAAGTAGATTAATAAAATTTTACTCAAATGTATATTAAGTCTGCAGGACTTTTGGTATTTAAAATGGGCTATGTAGGTCCACGTTTTGGTATTGTCCCATATAACGGTACCTCCCGATATTCGGTATTTTTATGATTTTAGTTACATTATTCACCGATTTTTATACCCTCCACCAAAAAAGGTATGGAGGGTGTATTAAGTTCGTCATTCCGTTTGTAACTCATCGAAATAATCATTTTAGACCCAACAAAGTATATATATTCTTGATCAGCGTAAAATTCTAAGACGATTTAGCCCCGTCCGTCCGTCTGTCCATCTGTTGTAATCACGCTACAGTCTAAACGAATTAAGATAGGAAGCTAAAATTTTGCACAGATCCGTCTTTTGTCTGCAGGCAGGTCAAGTTCGAAGATGGGCTATATCGGTCCACGATATCGTATAGCCCCCATATAACGGTACCCCCGATATTCGGTATTTTGATGATTTTAGCCACATTTTTCAACGAAATTGTCTGATAATCCACACAAGGAGTTCCTTGCGGGTACTTTATCTAGTAGAAGAGAATTATCTATATAGGTCCACTATATCGTATAGCCCCCATATAACGGTTCCCCTGATATTTGGTATTTCGATGATTTTATCCACATTTTTCAATGGAATTGTCTAAAATTCCACAAAAGGAGTCCCTTGTGGGCATTTTGACCCCCTCAAAAAGAATTGTCTGTCTGAATTGTCTATATAGGTCCACGATATCGTATATCCCCTATATAACGGTACCCCCCGATATTCGGTATTTTTATGATTTTACCCACATTTTTCATCGGAATTGTCTGAAAATCCACACAAGGAGTTCCTTGTGGGTACTTTATACCTCGGCAGAGAATTATCTATAAAGGTCCACGATATCGTATAGCCCTCATATAACGGTACCTTCTGATATTCGGTATTTTGATGATTTCAGCCACATTTTTCAACGGAATTGTCTGAAATTCCACACGAGGGGTTCCTTGTGGGTACTTTATCCTCGGCAGAGAATTATCTATATAGGTCCACAATATCGTATAGCCTCCATATAACGGTACCCCCGATATTTGGTATTTTGATGATTTTATCCACATTTTTCAATGGAATTGTCTGAAATTCCACAAAAGGAGTCCCTTGTGGACATTTTACCCCCTCAAAAGGAATTGTCTATATAGGTCCACGATATCGTATATCCCCCGTTTAACTGTACCCCCCCTATATTCGGTATTTTGATGACGTTAGCCACATTTCCCAATGGAATTATCTGAAAATCCACACAAGGAGTTCCCTGTGAGTACTTTATCCCCCCATATATCGGCACCTTCCGATATTAGGTATTTTAAAGATTTTAACAGAATTTTCAATGGATATTATTTTTGTGAATATTTTCTAATTCGTTCCAAATGGTGGAGAGTATTCGAAGTTCGGCCCGGTCGAACTTACTGCTTTTTTACTTGTTTTTATTCAAGTTTCGCATTTGAATATTGTAATGGTTTATGACAAAAGTTGCCTATGCAGGTCCATGTCGTCGTTTTGGCCCTAATAAAACGGCAACATTCGGTATTTTTAAGATTTTAAAAGAATTTTTAACGGATTTTATTTTTTTTAAAATTGCAAAATTCGTTTCAAACTGTGGAGGGTATTCAAATTTCGGTCAGGCCGAACATACAGCTCTTTTACTTGTTTTATTTAAAAATGAATCATAATTGAAATAATTGTGCAAATATATTTCCGATTTGTCTTTTCAAAATATTAATTTTTACCAACGAAGTTGTTTTGAAAATAGAAACTTTAAAGACAACTAATTATTTCTTTCTCTGTAAAGAGAGGCAAAAAAAGCACTTGCAATATTTTCCCAACATACCAAATTGACTTGAGAATAATATTTTAATAAGCTTTCAAAAATAAGCCTTAAGCTTGAGAAAATCTTGAGAATGTATTGAAAAATGCTTGTTTAACAATTATAGAATAATCGGAAGGGAACCCTTATTCATAAGCTTATTCTTGTAATTGCAGAATAAGCTTACGAAAGTAATATTATATCAAGCTTATTTTTTCAATGGTATAAAATATTTATTTTTTAATTATTTTACACATTTCATTCATTGATCGCCATCCCAGCTGTCGCTGCCTCCTGTTGCATTGATACCTAGATGATTTCTTTCCCCTTATTTGAGCTTCCGCATCTCCTCCACTAATTCTTCACTTCTCTTGAATTCTTGCAACTTTTTGACGCCTCTATTCTGAAATGAGATTGAAATAATATACACTACAGATTCCCAGATTTATTATTCATCATTACCTTAGAGTTTCGTCCAGAAATGGGTCTTAAATTCGCGTGATTTTGATTTTAACCAAAGAAAATATTTTTTTTGTCGACAATTTTCACAAAAAAAAATCAAAACAAATTTGTCAACAAAGGACAGATTTGAGAAAAGTTTGTGCAAAAAAGTTTTTCTCTAGCATTGTTGAAAAATTCTTATGATAAACTATTTTCATAATATTATTCTCAAGCTGTATTGTATTTTTGGTATGTTGGGAATTGTTATTTCAAAACATATGATTGTATGTGTTTTGAAATAACAAAATATTGCGAGTGTTTTTTTGCCTCTCTTTACAGAGCGAGAAATAATTGGTTATCCTTAAATTTTCAATTTAAAATTTTCCGTTTTAAAAACAACTTCGTTATTAAAAATTAATATTTTGATCAGACAATTCGGAGATATATTTGCACAGTTATTTCAATAATGTTTCATTTTGAAATAAAAAAATATATAACACGACATTTTCAAAAATTTTATATAATAATAATATAATTTTATATATATATATATATATTATTTATTAAACACAAATAATAATATCGGACAAAACATCCTTACCATCTAAGTTGATCCTTTAAAAAATTATACCGATTACCACAGGCTGACATACGCAAATAGTTGTAGAATTTTATGCTGATCAGAAACGCATATTCTGCGTTGGGTCCTAAAATATTATGTCTATGAATTACAAACAGAATGACAAACATCACATCCTGTTATTTTTCCCAATATTGACCAAGAACGTATATATCATTTCATAGAAATCAAGGGATATGAAAATGTCTCTAATTTGGAAGGACAATAAATTTGTCTAACAATGTAAAATAAATTTCTATTCCTAACAAGAAAATTCGTATGCAAATTTTGTCAAATAGAATTCAATCAAAAAAGATAAATCTTAAAATTTATAATTTTTACAAATTCGGAAATATTTGTTCCGAATATGTAGTAAGATATATTTGTGCTCCAATATTTCTTACGGTGTATTCATAAAAATATCCGACAGCACCTTCCTCAACGACTGCTCGAACAAAACTAAATATTCTCCCAAAACCATTTTGACAGAAAATTCAAAACAATTTATTTTTTACAATTGTGTTGGTGAACACACAGATATCCCAAGGGATACTCTAGCAAGGGATACCTAGCCTTGTTGTATATCATTTTTATGAATACACCGTAAGAAATATTGGAACACATAAATATATCTTACTACATATTTGAAACAAATATTTCCGAAATTGTAAAAATTGCAACTTTTAAGATTTAAATTCTTTGATTGAATTCTATTTGACAAAATTTGCATACGAATTCACATGTTAGGAATAGAAATTCATTTAATATTTTTAGATAAATTTATTGTCCTTCCGAATTAGTGGACATTTTCATATCCCTTGATTTCTCTGAAATGATATATACGTTTTTAGTCAATATTAGGAAAAAGAACAGGATCTGATGTTTGTCATTCTGTTTGTAATTCATAGAAATAATATTTTAGGACCGAACGCAGGATATGAGTTTTTGATCAGCATAAAATTACGACTATTTAGAATTTTATTTACTATTGAAAACAGAAAATTTTAAATTGGAAATTTAAAAAAAATAACAAATTATTTCTCATGCTGTAAAGAGAGGCAACAAAACACTTGCAATATTTTGTTATTTCAAAACACATACAATCACAAAAAATGTTTGAGGCTCTCTGCCTAGCCCTGATATACAATCACAAAAAAAAAATTGAGGCTCTCTGCCGAAATACACCGCAAGAAATATTGGAGAACATAAATATAATTACTACATATTTAAAACAAATATTTCCGAAATTGTAAAAATAGCAGCTGCTAAGATTTATATTTAAAATGAAACATGATTAAAATAACTGTGCAAATATATCTCCGAATTGTCGGATCAAAATATTAATTTTTAACAACGAAGTTGTTTTTAAAACGGAAAATTTTAAATTGAAAATTTTAGGATAACCAATTATTTCTCACTCTGTAAAGAGAGGCAAAAAAAACACTTGCAATATTTTGTTATTTCAAAACATATACAATCACAAGAAATTGTTGAGGCTCTCTGCCTTGCCCTGCTTTACATATTGTTTCCGTGGCAATGTTGAAAAAAGAAGAACGGTTGGAGAAAAATAAAAACACAATTAATTAATATTTTCTCCAGAACAGCACTGAACTGTATTTGTTACTGATGATTGTTCGTGGAACAATATTACCTTCGTACAAAGGAGTTTTAGACATAGGACGTAGTCCTATGCTTGCTAGTACTCGTAAAGTTGGTAGAACTCTGAAAAGGTGGCAATTGCAAAACGTCTCTCCTTAAGAAATGACATTCATTACCTTTGACATTATGTACGAAGTAAAATGGTAGTAGACATTACCTAAGGAGGAGAAAAATCGACAATGATGAAATGATGTTTGCAATTAAACATATATGAATTCAATATTATGTATATATTCGTCTTATTCGTCTAATCTACTATAGGGGTGGACAAGCATGTTATCATCGTTCGCTCAGGAAATTCTATGTGGGGGAATTATGTAGTTTTTTTTCGTAATTATGGTTCGGAAAACGAGTAGAGAGAGAGAATCAAGCATCGTGAAAACATCATCATCGTCGATGACATAACAATCTGCACTTAGGTTATTCAAACACCATTTACATTTTCCTTCCAATAAAATAATGTTCTACAATGGAAAGTTGCACAGACTGAGAGTTAAGCAGAAAAAATCGCTAACACATCAAGGCGTACAAACCGAAGATTTAGTTGACGACATTTTGAAATTTCCAAGGTCAACACAAACGGATAATTTTGTTGAGCAAATTTCGTCATTTACACAAACGGATGTTTTCAATTTTCGCGAAGGCGATTCACAAACCGACAGCACTGCCAGTGCTGATGATAAGGCCACACAGACGATGTGTGGTTTTGGAACTACCGATACCGAGAGTCCGACCTCTGAAGTACCGAACGAAAATTATGAGGAAATAACAGAGGAAGTTATATGCCAAGTTGTCGATGCCCAAACACAGACGCAGGAACCTCCCGCTGCAGCCGCATTGGAAAACACCGATGCCACCACCAATATATCTGCAATATTTAAGAGTATTCAAGATCGTGAACGATCACCATTTGCTGCTACTCTGACGACAGTGTCCACTATGGCGACTCCCTCCTCATTGTTGTTTCCCAGCATGATCTCGCATGCTCTAAGAGCGGGCGCTGGGGCAGGTACATCATTCAATCTCAAATTACCATTTAGACCAGTAGCAGCGTTCTGTAGTGAAACTTTCGTTGTTGATTTTATTATTTTACGTTGGACACGACTAATCCTGTTGGCAATGTCATTTGAAACTATTTGTCGATTGTCCTGCATTCCATTCGATTTGGGACTTTCAAAATTCTGTACATCTGTTGCCCATGTTAACTGTATTTGGCTAAAATATTGTTTCATTTTGTTAATATTTGCAGGCTGAAAATTTGAGGAAAAAAGTTGCCCGCATGGAGGATGAAAATGATTCTCTAATGATGCAGTTGAAAAAAATGGCAACACGTTCTCGAAGTATGTTAAATTGTAGTTCAAGTTGCTGTTCTTGTTGTCTTTTTATATGAAAACGCATTCGATGGACGATTGACTGGTCGAGAGGGAGAGGAAAAGGGGCCTTCCAATTGGTCAGCCCTGAGGACCGCATCTGAGTTGGAAAATAGCAGTGAGAATAACATGTCCGCATTGCTGTTACTTGCTGAGATGCTGTTCTCCAGTGTGCTACGTGAAGGGCATTCCCTCTCCCCTCTTGTCACTATTTGTTTATTATTATTTTGTTCACTAACCTAACAATAAACCTGCTCATTCCCTGCATCCTGCATACCCCCCGCCCTTAGATGTATATAAGTATATATGTATGTTCACTCACTTCTACTAAATTTGTCTTATTGCCATTTTTTACAGCTGCTCATCAAACAATGAAATTGGTTGTTCCAAAAATTGAACTCATTTTCCTCTAAACTCTACTACATCATTCATAGTTTTACAGTTACTGTTCTTGTTTGTGCATGCAGTTTTTATTGATGTGATTTTTTTTTTTTTTTGGTACTAATGCTAACTTTGACATCTCACACAGCTCGGAAGCTTAGTCCCACGCCACGGCGCTTGGCACCTGAGGTACAAGCGGAACGTGACGAAGGCATATCGGATGAAGATGACCCGGCTGAGTTACGTATTTTACTGGAGCTGAACGAACAGGAGGCCTCTATACTGCGGCAAAAGGTAGAAGACTTGGAGAAGCAGAATACAGAAGCCAAGAAACAGGTGCGGGAACTTCAGGAGAAACTGGCTGCGTCACCAACGGACAAAAAATCAGGCTTCTTATCGGCATCTAATAGCTCGGATAAGAAACTGAAGGCACTGAACGATGAATTGGAGACGTTGCGAAAGTCGCTAGCCGAAAAAGATAAACAGATTGAACGCTTGCAGTCTTCTTCCTCGTCACAGTCTAACTTCAATGTTAAGCGTCAATTGGATATGGTCGAACAGGAAGCCACGGTGCTGCGATCGAAGATAACTGCCCTTGAAGCCGAGAATGAACGTATCCAGAAGGAGAACAAACGATTGCAGTTGTTGTCGCTGAAGAAATCTCCTTCAACTGACTCTGGGGAGCTGGCGAAACTTAAGCAGGCCCTTGCTGCGGTCGAAGAACAAAAGAATGGCCTGGAGACCAAACTCAAGCGCATTCTACAAGAAACGGAGACAAAACTGCCACCCAGACTGGAAATTCGCGTAACCGATCTAACGCCGAAAAACCAGCTGAAAAAATGGGTTGAAGAGCTGGACGATGAAATAACCGAATTAAGAGCCCTTGTTGCCAACAGCAGTGCTCTGAGTCTGAAGAATTTGCAGGCGGAGAAGAAGTCATTGGAGGATGAGTTGAGTAAATACAAGGCCAAACTAACTCAAGTGGAAAACGATTTGCGTAAGTAGACTACCGGAATGAAGATTTTAATTAGGCGTGCGTAATTCGGACTTTTGGTATTGAAAAGTCTCAAAGTCGAAATTGATCATTGATCCTCGTAAAAATCACAAAGTTCATTTTTAGATTGTGCGATTATCTATTTTTATGCCAGCCAAAAAGTCTGCAACGACTAACGAGCTTGTAGTTTTCACTTACAACTCGAGAAAAGTTGTCGCTAATGCTAAGTTCACATGACACGTGATTCGCTCTCTATTCCTTGTTCGACCATTAATTAAGAAAAATCTACTTAA